CCCAAGGCTTGGTGACAAGCTTCAGTAGACTGTGGCCATATCCCTCTCCTCAACTCCTCTGCCCTTGTTAGTGATGTATAAGATACTTTGTTTCCTCACTCCTAGGGTGTGCTTTTTTTCTTTCCATAAATTTGTAGGTATTTCTCCATTAGATGACTGGCCTGAGAGGGAAAGGACACACATTTCCTCTGACCACTTAGAAGATCCACATTATAATGAGCTGACCAACCTGAAGCTGTGCATTGAGTCAACAGGCCTCTGTCCTAACACACAACGCCACATGCTGCACCTTAGAGAAAGCCGGGACCAGCAGGTGTCAGCAGAAGAGAGCAAACCTGGCCAGCAGGGAAGGAAGGAAGTGACCTAGGCAGTTCAGCCTGAGGTAACTGCACAGAGCAGTAACGTCGCCAAAGAGAAACGAGACAAAAAGGGCCGTGGCCAAAGGTAACAGAAGCTGGTCGGAAGAGTCCCTCAAGTCCAGTGACAATGAACAAGGGCTACAAAATGCCACCCTATGACTGCCCACCCTACTCTTGGAAGGGTGAGAAAGGGCGCTTGAGGGGACATAGCAGGCAAGGAGCTTTTCTCTTGATGTCCTTCTAGCCTCCATACTTCCTTCTGGTCTGTACAATGAGGAGTGCAGGTGAGAAGAGGGTGCTGAACTTCCTGAGCTGCTCCTCACCCAATCTGTGGCTGGCAGTAACGGCAGTGTGGGTGACTGTGAAGTCTGGCCAGTGTTCTCACTTCAGTTCAGGCTGTGTCTGGTCACTAGATCCTGAGCACCCACCTGGACTTCCTTGGAAAGGTCCTGAGCACCCAGGTGCAGTGGGTGAGGACAGGAGAGCAGGAAGGGCTGCCTTCTTGTCCCCGTCCCTTGAAAAAACTTTGTGGGTTAACTTTGTGTTTGCCATTTGAATGTGGGATAATTTAAATATTATTCTTTGAAGCCTAATTGTTATATATTAGAAAACTAAAGCTGCTCCAGTGATCAGTGGTAACAGTGGGCTTTTGTTTCTGCATCAGCTACAGCTGCGTAATGCCTGCTTTTTCTCCCCTTTTCTCACACCCCAAATCCTTTAAGGCTTCCCTATATTCTCCAGATCACTGCCCGTAAAGAACCCTTCATCCACCCCTGCAAGCAGCAAAGAGCAGGCTCAGACAAGCTGCACACCAGCCTTGAGCTTCCATACCAAACATCAGAAAATTAAACAAAGCCAGAAGACAGATGTGCTCTGCACAAACGAAGAACAGAATTGCCAAGTTGCCTCCATGCTGCAGAAATAAACTGACAAGAACGAGAAACCATGTGTGAAGAGACTGTAAAACCAAGCATTTGACCCCTCAGGAACCCAGACTGGGCTTGCTGCTGAGAGGGGAGGATGCTGATGGCAAGATACCTTTTAGACACTCCACTTCTGAGTCAGGCATGTGCAAGTACTTCATGCATCCCTGCTTGCCGACCTGTTGCCTACTTCTCAAGAGGAAACCTTCCCTTTTCCTGAACTGCTGTCACAAAGCCACTCTAGTGCCCTACGGTGGATCATGTGTCCTGGTGGTGGTGAAGCTTCAAAGCAGTAAGAATGAATGTCCTTCCCCTAACCCACCCCTGACATCCACCCACCTCTTCCCAAACTAAAGAGAAGGTAATAGTGCCTTCCTTCTGTCAGGTTCATAACTCCAGGGAGGAGGGAAGTGGCAGAAGTATCAGAAGAGGGCCTTAAATGTGTGCACTGCCAGGTTTTGTGATAACTGACTGTCTGGAGATCCCAAAAGCAGCCCAATTCCAGTACCTACTGTAACCTGTCACTAGGGAAGCAGTACCCGAAGCCCTGTGGCCTTTTGCAACAACTGCTACCACCTTCCCAGTCCTCAAAGATGCCAAGCTCAAACTGCCCTACAGAGACCACCCAGTCATGCCCATGCCACATATCCCTGCAGGCACAGAAACTTATTGTCGATAAGAGTGCCGGTGAGACCCTTCTGCAGCGGGCTGCCCAACTTAGCTCTGAGCTGCTGCTCCTTGAGGTTGGGGGCAGGGCACAGTCATGGGCGTAGGGGGCATGTATGTGACTCAGCCCAGACCCTTCACATCAGGGCACCAGACTGCGTTGTATGTCACATAGCATGTTTGTGTTAGCCCCACTCAGCTGGCTGCCATCTCATTGGTAGCCTGAACAATTGTGGGGTGAAAACAAAGTTTCTTTAGTTTGCGTTCAGGCAGATTACCTGCTTGGCATGCTCCCGACTCGTTCACTTATCTCTGATGTAACATTGGACATAACCCAGGGCTTGGATACTGGAGGAATTTTGATAAGCTCTTTTGGATTCTGATTAGCAAAGGGGAGAGATGTTAACTATTTTGGGTTGCTTGTGAAGAGTTACACATGTTAGGGAAGCAGGCAGGAAGTGTCTGTGCGCAGTAGGTGCTGAGATAGTGGGGTTGTGGGGTAGGAGCAGACCTCTCTTTCTGAGAAGGCAGGAAAGCCCGAGAGCTGATGAAAAGAAGGGGATGAGACTTTGCCCTTAAGTCATTGCTCATCCCAGCTCCCCATCCCATTTTCTTACCCAGCATGGCTTGTATCAGTGATAACATATTGCCTGAGTACTTGTCTAAGCTCACATAGGTCCATAGTAACTCATCTCACCTATTCAACATCTTTGTGCGGTGGCAGGAAGAAACTGAGCCCGAAAGGGATTAAATGATACTTGTACAGGATCCTTACCAGCAGGCTGGCCCTAAAGCTCAACCCCTCACCTCCTTACCCACCCTACTTGATCTCCAAGATTGGCTCACCATGGAAGTGCCCATTTAACAATTCAAAAATTTTGGGGATACATTACTCCCTCTGCCCAGTGAGTGTGCTACAACCACACTCGTCACTTGAAATTGTGATATAATAACCCACACGGCAAAATCTTGTTTGTTTTAATTACAGTGGACATTCCACATTATATCAATGACATTCAGGTGTACAGCATAGTGGTTTGACACTTACATAACTTACAGAGTGATCCCTGGATGAGTTTAGTACTCACCTGGCCCCATATACAATTATTACAATATTACTGCCTTATTCCCATGACTATTCTGTAGCTGCCACTTTGTACTTCCAAATCCCTTCACCCCTTTCACCCATTTCTTGAAGCCCCCTGCCCTCTGTCAACCATCAGCCTGTTCTGTGTATCCATCAGTCTGTTTCTATTTTGTTTGTCCATTTATTTTGTGTTTTAAGCTATTGTAATCAAAACAGCATGGTATCGGCGTGAAAACAGGCATATAGATCAATGGAACAAAATAGAGATCCCAGAAATAAGTCCACATCTATGTGGTCAATCAATATTTGACAAAGGAGGCAGGAGCATATAATGGGCTAAAGACAGTCTATTCAATAAATGGTGTTGGGAAAATTGGACAGCTACATGCTAAAAAATGAAACTGGACCACTAACTTACACCATATAAACTGAAAACAGATTAAAGATGTAAATGTAAGACCTGAAACCATAAAAATCCTAGAAGAAAACATATACAGTAAGCTATCTGACATTTCTCTTAGCAATATTTTTTCACCCTGGCCAGAAGAGTGCTTCTGTTCATGGTCCTATGACCCTTTCCTGGTGTTACTGCCTAGTTGTTGGTTTCCCTTCAACCCTTATCTGACCCATGAAGCATGAATGTGTGGACAGGAAATTGAAAGTCCACTAGTGCCACGTGAGACAGTCCTTTGAAGTGCTAGCACTTTCTTTCCTTCTTTCTTTTTCTTTTTCTTTCCTTTCTTCTTTTTTTTATTGTTCAACATATTACAGATGTCACTTTTTCTCAGCATTGAACCATTCCACCCCGCCCAGTCCCCCTCCCCAGTCCCTCACCACACCATTGTCTCTGTCCTTGGATTAGGCATAAATACATATAAGTTCTTTGCATAACCTCTCCCCCTCCCCCCACCGGCCCTCCTCCTTCCCTCTGAGATTCAACAGTCTGATCTGTGCTTCCCTGTCATTGAATCTGTTCTGTCCATCAGTTTCTTTTCTTTTTTTTTAATTTTATTATTGTTTAAAATATTACAGATGTCCGTTTTTCTCCCCAATGACCCGTTCCACCCCGTTCCTCCCCCCTCCCCAGTCCCTCTCCCCACCATTGTCCATGTCCTTGGGTTGTGTATATATGCACATAAATTCTTTGGTTACTCTCTCCATCAGTTTCTTAAGTTCTTTAGATTCCACATATAAGTGAGATCACATGATGTTTGTCTTACACTGCCAGGCTTATGTTGCTTAGCGTAGTATTCTCCAGATCCATCCATACTGTCCCAAAGGGTACCAGGTCCTTCTTCTTTATAGCTGCATAGTATTCGATGGTATAAATGTCCCACAGATTTTTTTTATTCACTCATCTATTTTATCCACTTGGGCTGTTTCCAGGTCTATTGTAAATTGTGCTGCTATGAACATAGCGGTGCATATATTCTTTCTCATTAGTGTTTTAGGATTCTTAGGATATATTCCTAGAAGTGAAATCTCTGGGTCAAAAGGCAGCTCCATTTTTAAGTTTTTGAGGGAACTCTGTACTGTTTTCCATAGTGGCTGCACCAGTCTGCATTCCCACCAGCAGTGCACCAGGTTCCCCTTTCTCCACACCCTCGCCAGCACATGTCATTTGTTGATTTGTTGATGGAGCCAATCTGACAGGTGTGAAGTGACACCTCATTGTGGTTTTAATCTGCATCTCTCTGATGATTAGCTACTTTGCGCATTTTTTCATATGTCTCTTGGCCATCTGTTATGTCCTCTTTAGAGAAGTACCTACTCAGGTCCTTTGCCTGTTTGTTACTTGGATTGTTTGTCTTCCTCTTGCCAAGTAGTATGAGTTCTTTGTACACGTTGGAAATTAGCCCCTTATCAGAGACATCCTTGGAAAATTCATTCTCCCAAACAGTGGGGTTCCTTTGTATTTTGAGGCTGTTTTCTTTTGCTGTGCAGAAGCTTTTCAGTTTGATGTAGTCCCATTTGTTTACTTTTTCTTTTGTTTCTCTTGCCCTAGGAGGTGGATCAGTGAAAAGTCCACTGCGTGAGTTATCTGTGACTTTGCTGCCTATGTTTTCTTCCAGGATTTTTTGGTTTCTCGACTTACATTGAAGTCTTTTATCCATTTTGAGTTTTTTTTGTGTATATGGTGAAAGTTGGTGTTGCAGGTTCATTTTCTTTTCACGCAGGTATCCAATTTTCTGAGCACCGTTTATTGAAGAGAGTGTCTTGACTCCATTGTATGCTCTTGTCTCCTTTGTCAAATATTAACTGACCGTAATGGCTTGGATCTATTTCTGGAGTCTCTGGTCTGTTCCACTGATCTGTAGGTCTGGTGGTGTACCAATACCAGGCTGTTTTGATTACAGTGGCTTTGTAGTACAGTGTGATACCTGGTAAAGTGATCCGTCCCACTCTGTTTTTCTTTCTCAAGATGATTGCGGTTATTTGCAGTCTTTTTTGGTTCCATATACATTTTTGGAATATTGGTTCTAGCTCTGAGAAATATGCTGTTGGTATTTTAATAGACATTGCATTGAATCTATAAATTGCTTTGGGTAGTATGGACATTTTAATGATATTAATTCTTCTAATCCATGAACATAGTATATTCTTCCACTTGTTTATATCTTCCTCTTTTTCTTTTCAGTGTCCCATAGTTTTCCAAGTACAGGTCTTTTACATCCTTGGTTAAGTTTATTTCTAGGTATCTTACTTTTTCAGTTGTAATGGTAAATGGTGTTGCTTTTTTAGTTTTTCTTTCTGGGAGTTCATTGTTGGTGTATAAAAATGCCATTGATTTCCTGATGTTAATTTTGTATCCAACTTCCTTGCTGAATTCATTTATCAAATCCAGTAGTACTTTGTTGGAGTCTTTAGCACTTTCTATGTACAGTATCATGTCATCTACAAATAACGACAGTTTTACTTCCTCCTCTCCAATTTGGATGCCTTTTATGTTTTCTTCCTGTCTGATGGCTGTGGCTACAACTTCCCGTACTATGTTGGATAAGAGTGGTGGAAGTGGACATCCCTGTCCTGTTCCTTTTTTTAAGGGAAATGGTTTTAGTTTTTGCCCATTGAGAATGATGTTGGCTGTAGGTTTGTCATATATGGCCTTTATTTGGTTGAGGTATGTTCCCTCTATTCTCACTTTGCTAAGAGTTTTTATCAAAAATGGGTGCTGGGTTTTTTCGAATGCTTTTTCTGCATCTATTGATATGATCGTATGATTTCTGTCTTTCGTTTTGTTTATGTGGTGTATCACATTTATTGATTTGTGGATATTATAGCAACCTTGCATTCCTGGAATAAATCCCACTTGGTCGTGGTGTATGATCTTTTAAATGTATTACTGGATCTGGTTTGCTAGTATTTTGTTGCGGATTTTCACATCTATGTTCATCAGGGATATTGGCCTCTAGTTTCCTTTCTTTGTAGCGTCTTTATCTGGTTTTGGGAGTAGCATGATGCTGGCCTCATAGAAAGAGTTTGAATTTTCTGCAATAGTTTGAGGAGAATAGGTATTAATTTTCCTCTGAATGTTTGGT